TTCTGCTTTTCTGAAGTTTTAAATATATACACCACACTGTCTAATATGAACTATATGTGGAAAATCACCTCTGATTGCAGAAATGACTGTGCTCAGGTCACCAGATGAAATTCTTAGAAGGTCCACAGCATTCGTGATTTTTCTCCCTCAGGACATTCAGGGCATGGCCTCAGTGTTGTTCTGATTAGGACAGCATTTAACATTGGGGGAGCCATGAGGGAGGTGAGGCCACACACCCCAAAAGATTTCAGGTCTTTCTGATTCCCCTGATAACTGTGCACATCAGGCACAGAGCTGACCTGTTTGTATTTATAGTTGATTCTGTTACTAAATCTGTAACTTTCATCATCATATCTTTCATTACATTTTGTTCGTGAATTCTGGCCATTTTTCTAAACAAGGACACAAGCCACTGATAGTAAACTCAGGTGAGGCCTAGGGTGTAACTCTGTGGGAAGGGAGGGTGACTGGGAAAGTTGGTGAATGAAAAAAAAAGAAATAAGAATTAAAGAAACATGACTGCTCCCAGGTAAGGTGGAGGAGAAAGTTTATTATATACATGTGGAGAGCATAGCCAGAGGCAGGGCATCTGGAGAGTCCAGAATAAAGATTACATTGACCAGTGTCAGGAGAGAGGATGGAAAGGAGGGTGGAGAGAGGGGAACAGGGTGCAGCAGCCAGGGAACCCAAAGGAGAGAAGAGAAGGAACAGGTAACTAAAATAGTTGGATTATATAGGGCAGGGCAGCTGGGGAAGGGAAGCCCAACTGCTTGACTGGAGACATTTAGGGTAGAGGAGGGTTTCCCTGCAAGGATGGCCCTGTAACAGCTAAGGACTGAGGGAGGCAGGGAGAACCTGGCAGCTGGTGTCTGCTTTGATATGTTAAATAGAAACCTCTGACATTTTTACCAGGGTGAAATCTAACACTCCAGCCTTTTTGTTGATACTAAATAAGTTTTAAGGTTGACATGTAATCTTATCTATGACTAACTATTTCATGCTGTCACAGGAATGCCACTGGTGAGTGGGGCCCAAGGAAGCTGGGGTGCTGGCCCAGTCTGGGAAGAGCAGACTGTTTCACTTGCTGACCAGTCTCTACAGCACCTTCTGGGTTAGGGACATTGCAGACAGCATTTGGAGCAGTTTGTAAGACTGGACCGCCTTGGGCTAGCCACCTTGAAGCTTTCTGGGATGCAGATTTTGAGGGAACACCTAGACCTGGCTAGTTGCTAGAGCAGTCAGCAATTAATTTGAAATCTGTTGGGGCCAATTGCTAAGGGACCAGCCCTCAGCAGGTCATGTACTGAAGAATTGTGGGGTCAGCACAACTGCATACACACAGGAGATTTCTCTGAGGGTCAAATCTTAGTTCTTCATTTTATTTTTGTCTTTCTGTCATTCCTACTGTGCTATCTCTCTGTTCTGTTCTTTTACCCTGTTGCTTGTCTTCTTCTTGGACTTGTTATACTCTTATAAGAATCAGAATATAATGATTATTTCCAGGATCAATGAAATGGTCTATTCCAGATGCAATGACTTTTGCCAGTTTGCAGGTTATGAATAGATTGATGTCTAAGACCAGTTGCCCTTTCCATCTTCTATATGCTTTGTAGTCTTCTAGGGAAAATAGAGAAACAGATGTGAAATGAAAGGTTCACTAATGAGGGATGCCTCAGTTTTTCTGAAAGGCACACAGTGCCCTAGGAGCCAAGGACTATAAGTGAAAACTTCTGACACGTGCCTTTCAAAGCAATAAGGCCAGGTCAACTCCATTATTTCCTGCAAAACATGATGGTTCTAGGCCAAAGCAATATGCTTATTTTTTCTAGGCACAGTGATTTGCATGCTGTAATCCTTTAGTGACTCAGTAGTACCAGCGGGTAGTGCTGGAGCTGGATCCATCTGACACCATGGAAGACTCTTCACTGTGAGAAATACTAATGACCATAGAAGCACAAATAAAATGAATCTCTGACACATGGTCAGTATCTCCAGAAAACCAAAAGTAATTTTGCCTGCAGTTGATTTATGTGCACTGAAGTTTCAGGCATATATTACTGTTCAAGAGAGACAGTTAAACTTCACTATAATGATCACAGATCATAAAGAATCACTCACTACCAGAGATCCCTGGGTTGGAATTGGCAATCATGGTTTCTGTATGGCTGCCTCTAGGGAGAAGATGAGTCTGTTTTCAGTAGTAAATGGGATAATTATTGGGGAGAGGCATTCTTAAAAATCATAGCCACAGGGGACGCCCAAGCAGTGTGTACAGGACCTGTCCCTTGTGCATGAACCGGCTTTTTGGACCCTAGTGCCTGTGGTGAGACTTTGCACAGCCTTGATGCAGGGAGAAGGAGCTTGGACCTACCTCAACTGAATGTAGCAGGCTCTGCTAACTGTCCATGGGAGACCTTCCCTTGGAGAAGGTGGGAATGAGGGGTGGTTTGGGGGAGGGGAAACTGGGGATCAGAGCAGGAAGGACAGGGGAATGAATCTGTGGTTGATATGGAAAATGAATACATAATCTCTTAATAAAAATAAGGAACAGAAATCATGGCTATAGAAGAAGGCAATGTATGGTTATAAAGAAGCCAAAGATTAGTTTGTGGTGTGATGTGTGATTTTTATATTGGGATGTTAAATATTCCATCTCTAGTTTGATAGTCATAAATCCTATCTTCCTTCCTAGAAGAGCATTGATGTAACCATGACTGGCCAATAGTAGCTAATTTCCCTGGAACTCAATTGGTTCATGGAATGGTGTATGGTCAGAGTAGAAGAACTCATAAGCTTTCCTTGGAATTGACAGACAGATGCTGAATGGGACGTTCCATTTTTGTTTACATTGTTAAAATGAGAGTGTGTGACATGGGTATGAGGGCAGGGTATGCACTGGGGACAGAGGTTCCCAAGGAATGAAGATGGAAGCAGAGACGTGAGAGGAAGACTCACACTGATGAAGCCTCACTGTAAAGTCAAGGATGACCTTTGACTTCTGATGCTCCTGCCTCCACTTCCCCAGTGCTAGGGTTTCTACACTTTATGTGGAGTGAGAGATTTAAAGCAGGGCTTCATGTATTCTAGTCAGCATACCACCAACTGAACTTTATCCCAGACCCTAATATATTTTTTCAAATTTTAATAGAGATATTTATTTGTCTTTGTTTATGTGCTCATATACACATGTAATGATTCATAGGTGAAAATCAGAGGACAACCTTTCTCTCCTATCTTGTGGATTCTGGGGATAGAACTCAGGGAATCAGGCTCTGCAGCCAGCATCTTCCTAGGTATACATACATATAGAGAGAAAGGGGGTGAATTTAATGTAGTCTTCAAAGTCACTAGGTCATAGAGGTAGACCTTGAACTCCTGTCCTCCTGTCCTGACCTGCTGGGGTTACAGGTATATAATACTATACCTAGCCTCTATTTGGTTTAAAGTGAAGACATGAGATGCAGATCCAGCTCAGTGGTAGAGTGCTGGCTTAGCATGTACAAGGCAATAATTTTAGTTTTCAATACTACAGAAAGGAGGGAGGGTGCCAAATCAAGCTGCTTTTTCTATTATTGCCATGTCTACTGCTTTTTTGCCATATAATAAAGAAATATATTTTCTGTCGTGTGATAATTGTGAAAGTAAAGCTTGCTTTGAGTCAGAGGGCAGAGCTAGCCAGTAGCTGACTAAAACTGACCATAGAAGTTTGGAGCTCCGTGGACCGATAGGAGACAGGAAGTAATAAGGTGAGGCTAAGAGAGGATCTCAGCCCTTTTGGAACAAGGAAGAGAAGAGGTAGGAAGTTACTGTAGGCTGTTCCCCTGCTTGTTGGATCTTTCTTATAACAACATTTGACCTCTGATTTTTTTCGATAATTAGAAAAACCCTTCAGATTTCTTTGTTAAACAAACACAAACAACCATAAAAACTTCAGTATAAACCAAGCCATACAACATGTAGAGGAGTTCAGGACCAAAAGGGGGCACAGTGGAGCCAATAGTCAATAGGATGAACTGAGATGAGGAGTGGAGGGGACTCTGCAGCCTCTGTGGAGGCCCTTCCAAAGTCTGTTAGCTGAACAACACCTGCTGCAGTTGATATGGGAAGTCTCCATGCTCAAACACAGTAAAAGTTCTTTGTTAAATAATGCACAGATTTTTATTTTCTCAAGATTTAGTTATTTATTTTTGATTTTGTAAAAAACATTTTTTTTTTTTTGGTTTTCCGAGACAGAGTTTCTTTGTGTAGCTTTGCGCCTTTCCTGGAACTCACTTTGGAGACCAGGCTGGCCTTGAACTCACAGTGATCCGCCTGGCTCTGCCTCCCGAGTGCTGGGATTAAAGGCATGCGCCAGCACTGCCTGGCTGTAAAAAACATTTTTATACAATATATTCTGGCCATGGTTATCCTACCCAACTCCTCCCTAATCTTTCCTACCTCCCCACCTCCCTACCACTCTACTCCATAACATTTTTTCTCTATACAAAATGTAAACAAATGACAAAAAGGGATTTAAAAACAAATCCAAGAGTTACACACCTGCAATCTACTGGAAAAGAAATATTAATAGGTTGCATATGAAAGAAGATTACAAATGCTCCTAATTTAAGAGTTTTGCAATTTCCAGACACTGTTATCCTCATAACAACTACCATCTATAAATCAATTTTGGTACAAAGTGGAACAAAGGTCTCAGATACAAATTCTACTTTTAAATTCAGAGATTAGGCCTTGATGTTATACCAACATGGACTCCACAGGTCTTGGGGAAGGATACTTCCTCAGACAGGATAAGGATTTTGATCTCAGCATCCTGTTGCCTGACCCAGGTTTACTCTGCCACCTTCTCCAGCTGGAATAGGTCCTTATATAAGAAGTACCCTGCCTCATGAATATGCAAATCATGTGAGTCTACAGTGGTAAATACAGAGATATCCACACCAAAAACAAACATATGATCAGTGTCCTCTCCACAGTCACTGAGCACAGAGGTCCTCACCATGGGATGGAGCTGGATCATCCTCTTCCTCCTGTCAGTAACTACAGGTAAGGGGCTTTCCAGTTGAAACCTGAAGAAGGAACTGGGAATAAAGTGACAATGACATCCACTCTGTCTTTTCTCCAAGGTGTCTACTCCCAGGTCCAGCTGCAGCAGTCTGGGCCTGAGCTGGTGAGGCCTGGTGCCTCAGTGAAGCTGTCCTGCAAGGCTTCTGGCTTCACCTTTACCAGCTACCATATGAACTGGGTGAAGCAGAGGCCTGGACAGGACCTGGAGTGGATTGGAAACATATATCCTGGAAATGGTAATACATACTACATTCAGACGTTCCAGGGCAAGGCCAAACTGACTGTAGATAAATCCTCCAGCACAGCCTACATGGAGCTCAGCAGCCTGACATCTGAGGACTCTGCGGTCTATTACTGTGCAACACACAGTGTTACAACCCACATCCTGAATGTGTCAGAGTCCCTGGAGGAGCAGGAAGCTGCCCTGGGACTGAGATGACAGAGAAGATTAGAATGGAGACTTGTTCAAATATCATCATTCTGAAATCCTTTTGCCATTTCACAGACTTTTTTTTAATTAAGAAAAAATTTTCATTCATTTTACACACCCATCCAAGTTTTCCCTTTTCCTTCCTCCCAACTCCCCAAGCCTCCCCTTCCCAATCCACCATCCTCTCTCCCCCACAAGAAGACAAGGCTTCCATGGGAAGGCACATTCCATATAGGCAAGTCGAAGCTCCTCCCATTGCCTCAAGTCTGCACAAGGTGTCCCATCATAGGTAGCGGGCTCCACAAACCCTGGTCAAGCACCAGAGATGGATTCTGATCCTACTGCCAGGGGCTCCCCAAGCAGATCAAGCTACACAACTGTTTAACCATGCAGAGGGCCTAGTCCAGTCCCATGCAGGCTCCACAACTCTTGATCCAACTTTCATGAGTTCCCACTAGTTTGGTTTGGTCATCTCTGCAGGTTTCCACATTATGTTCTTGATGAACTTGCTCATAGAATCCTTCTTCTCTCTCTTTGGCTGGAGTCCTGGAGCTCTGCCTGGTGTATGGCAGTGGATCTCTGCATCTGCTTCCATCAGTCACTGGAGAAAAGCTCCATGATGATAATTTGAGTATTCACAGTTCACTAAGGTAAGCCAGTTCATTTCTGGCACACTCTCCACTATTTCTAGTATTCCAAGCTGGGGTCATCCTTGGGAATTCCTGGCAAATTCCCTAGCAATGTGTTTCTCTCTATCCCCATGGTTTCTCTCTCCATCATGGTATCTCTTTCATTGTTTTCTCACTCCATCCCTGTTCCAGCTCAACCATCCCATCCCCTACCCCCTACACTCTAATGCCTACCCCTCATCCCTAGTTTATTCATGGAGATCTCATCTATTTTCCCTTCCCAGGGTGATCCATGCTTCCCTCTTTGAGTCTTCCTTATTAGCTAGCTTCTCTAGAATTGTGAGTTGTTTAGTTATCATTTGCTTTACATCTAGTATCCACTTCTGAGTGGGTACACACCATGTTTATCCTCTTGAGTCTGGGTTACCTCGCCCAGGATGATATTTTCTATTTCCATCCTCTTCCCTGCAAATTTCATGATGTCATTTTTTTCTCTACTGAGTAGTACTCCATTGTGTATACATACCACAATTTCTTAATCCATTCTTCAGTTGAATGGAATCTAGTTTTTTTTCCAGGTTCTGGCTATTACAAATAGTACTTCTATGATTATAGTTGAGCATGTGTCCTTGTGGTGTGACTGAGCATTCCTTGGGTATATGCCCAAGAGTGGTATAGATGGATCTTGAGGAAGATTGATTCCCAGTTTTCTGTGAAACTACCACACTGATTTCCAAGTTTGCACTCCCATTAACAGTAGATGAGCATACCCATTACTCTACATCCTCTCCAACATAAGCTCTCTTCAGTGTTTTTGATCTTAGCCATTCGGACAGGTGTAAGATGGTATCTCAGAATCATTTTGATTTGTATCTGGCTGATGACATAGCATGGTGAGCAATTCCTTATAAGTCTTTCGACCATTTGAAATTCTTCCTTGGAGAATTCTCTGTTTAGCTCTATAGCTCTTTTTAAGGTTGGATTGTTCATGATTTGATGTATAGTTTTTTTTAGTTTGTTATATATTCTGGAGATGATCCCTCTGTGAGTTGTGGGGTTGGTGAACATCTTTTCATATTATGCAGGCTGTTGTTTTGTCTTATTGACTGTGTCCTTTGCCTTATAGAAGTCTTTCAGTATCAGGAGGTCCCATTTATTAATTTTTGTTCCCAGTGTCTATGCTACTGGTGTTATATTTAGAAAGTGGTCTCCTGTGCCAATTTATTCAAGACTACTTCCTACTTCCTACTGTCTCTTCTTTCAGGTTCAGTGTAACTGGTTTTATATTGAGGTCATTGATCCACTTGGGCTTGAGTTTTGTGCATGGTGATATATATATATATATGTATTTCTGTATCATGTTGTACCATACCCAATTCGTATCTTCTTTTGTTGGCAGATAGCTGCTTGATTCCATATATATATATATATATATATATATATATATATATATATATATATATATATATATATATATATCAGTGTCTGCAGTGTCTGTGGCCATGGTTGACACTAAGCTGTTTGTATGACGTTTGCTTTGTGACTGAGCCATACAGTGCTTTGTGCAATTTGAATCTTGAAAGATTTTTGCTTATAATTCTGTATTTTATCAGATCTGCCACTGTGCAGGTGGCAAGCCAGATTTTATGTAGTTTTTATATGTTGTAATATTTCTTCAAATAAAGCGCTTTTATAAAGCATATATATTCTGCAAGTTCATGTCCAGTTATGCCAGCACCATTTGTTGAAGATGCTTTCTTTTTGTTGAAGATGCTTTCTATTTTCTGTTGTACAGTTTTGGCTTCCTTGTCAAAAATCAGATGTTCATAGGTGTATGGGTTAATGTCAGGATCTTCAGTTCTTTTCCATTGGTCCACATATCAGTTTTTATGGTAATTCCAAGCGTTTTTTATTACTATAGCTCATAGTAGAGCTTGATATCAGTGATGGCGTTGCCTCCAGTGGTGGCTTTGTTGTACAGAATTCTTTTAGCTATCCTGGGTTTTCTGATTTTCCAAATGAGGTTTTGTGTTGTTCTTTCCAGGTCTGTGAAGAATTGTGTTGGGATTTTGATGGAGATTGCATTGAATCTGTAGATTTCTTTTGGTAAGATTGCCATTTTTACCATTACCCATCCATGAACATGGGAGATCTTTTCCAAATCTTCAATTTCTTTCTTCAGAGACTTAAAGTTATTGTCATACAGGTCTTTCACTTGCTTAGTCAGAGTTACCCCAAGATATTTTATATTAGGTGTGACTATTGTAAAGGGTGATGTTTGTCTAATTTCTTTCTTAGTCTGATTATAATTTGTATATAGGAGGACTACTGATTTTTTTAAGTTATTCTTGTATCCTGCCACATTACTGAATGTGATTATCAGGTATAGGGGTATCCTGGTAGAATTTTTGAGGTCACTTATGTATACAACCATATCATCCGCAAATAGTGAAAGTTTGACTTCTTCCTTTCCAATTTGTATCCCCTCGATCTCCTTTTGTTGTCTTCTTACTCTAGCTAGAACTTCAAGTACTATATTGAATAAATATGGAGAGAGTAGACAGCCTTGTCTTGATCCCGATTTTATTGGAATGGCTTTTAATTTTTCTCCATTTAATTTAATGTTGGATGTTGACTTGCTGTAAATTGCCTTTATTAGGTTTAGTTGTGTTCCTTGTATTTCTAATCTCTCCTAGACCTTTATCATGAAGGTGTGTTGGATTTTGTGAAAGGTATTTTCAGCATCTAATGAAATGATCATGTAGTTTTCTTTCTTTCAGTTTGTTTATATGGTGGATTACATTGACAGATTGTCATATGTTGAACTATTCTTGCATCTCTGGGATGAAGCCTTACTTGATCATGATGGATAATTTTTTGATGTGTTCTTGGATTATGTTTGGCAATATTTTATTGAGTAGTTTTGCATCAATGTTTATGAGGGAGATTGATCTGTAATTCCCTTTGTTGCATCTTTGTGTGGTTTAAGAATCTGAATAACTTAGGCCTCATAAAAGGAGTTTGATAATGTTCCTTCTGCTTCTATTGTGTGGAATAATGTGAAGAGTGTTGGTATTAACTCTTCTTTGAAAATCTGGTAGAACTCTGTATTGAAACCATCTGGTCCTGGGCCTTTTTTCTTTCTTTCTTTTCTTTCTTTTTTTTTTTTGGTTGGGAGAATTTTAATGACTGTTTCTATTTCCTTAGGGGTTATTTGTCTATTTAAATTGTTTATCTGGTCTTGATTTAACTTACGTATGTGGTACTTATCCAGATAATTATCCATTTCTTTTAGATTTTTCAATTTTGTAGAGTAATGGTGTGACCTGATGATTCTCTGGATTTCCTCATTGCCTGTTGTTATGACTCACTTCTGAATTTGTTGATTTGTATCCTCTCTCTCTCTCTCTCTCTCTCTCTCTCTCTCTCTCTCTCTCTCTCTTTCTCTCTCTCTCTGCCTTTTGGTTTGTTTGGATAAGGGCTTGTCTATCTTGTTGATTTTCTCAAAGAACCAACTCTTTGTTTCATTGGTGCAATGTATTATTCTCTTTGTTTCCATTTTATTGATTTCAGCTCTCAATTTGATTACTTCCTGACATCTCTTCATCTAAAGTGACTTTGCTTCTTTTTGTTCTAGAGCTTTTATTTGTGCGGTTAAGTCACTTATGTGAGATATCTCCAACTTCTTTATGTGGTCATTTAGTGCTATGAATCTTCCTCTTCGCACTGCTTTCATAGAGTCCCATAAGTTTTGGTGTGTAGTAACTTTCATTTTTATTGAATTCTGGGAAGACTTTAATTTCTTTCTTTATTTCTTCCTTTACCCTTTGGTTCTTCAGTTGAATATTATGCAGCTTCCATGAGATTGTAGCCTTTCTGTAATTTTTGTTGTTGTTGAAATCTAACTTTAAGCCATGGTGGTCCAATAGAATACAGGAAGTTATTCTAATTTTTTGTATCTGTTGAGATTTGCTTTGTTACTGAGTATGGGGTCAATTTTAGAGAAGGTTCTATGGGATTCTGAGAAAAGGATATATTCTTTTCTGTTAAGGTAGAATGTTTTGTAAATATCTATTAAGTCCATTTGAGTCATAACATCTGTTAGGCTCCTTATTTCTCTGTTTAGTTTCAGTCTGACAGATCTGTACAGTGGTGAGAGTGGGGTGTTGAAGTCTCCCAATATTAATGTATGGGGTTTGATGTGTGTCTTAGAAAGTCACTGGTGTTGCAGGGGGAAGAACATTGGGGCAGGACATGGGTCTTATAGTTTGGTGGTTCCAATGGGGAGTTTTGGTGGGGGACCCTGTCCCCAGGTGTTTTTCCTGCTGGTCAGCACATCTCGGACCAATGAGAACAGGCAGATTCTTTTTCTCAGGAAGC